ACTGTGTCTGCTTAATGAGCCTGTTTGATACCCCAGGCATGCAATGTCTCTGTTCTCTGGGTTTCACGGAAGAACCAAGAACATTCTGTATTTTGATTACAGTAAATCATCAATAGACCCCCACATGCAGCACTAGTGAAAATTTGGAACATTGACAGTCATGATGGAAAAAACCCATGAGGCTTTAATGAGGGAATGAGCAAAAGGAAGCTGAATGTGCTGAGGAACAGCCTTGTGCCATAGGCTGATTTACTGCGAAGTCTTGCTTCTGTGGAAATGAAGTTGTCTCACCAACCATTCCTGGTCTCAGCTGAGCTTTTAATGAAACTCGGTCAGCCTTGCTCGCTCAGGCTTGCACTGAGGCAGGCTGGTCTAGCACATTACCAGTATTTTTTTTCTCCATTTTTCAAAACCTGCAGCAATTCCTTGGGTTCTTCCCACCTTTTGCCTGTAAGAGCAGCACATTGAGGCCAGTGAAGCAGTCTTTCACTGTCCCAAGTACAGTAACACCGATAAATCTCTCAGAAAACAGGTCATGAAGGTGAAAGCAGATGGTCCTGATGCCTTTCTCTTGTTAAACCCTTCCTTCTCCTTCCCAGCTTCTCATTCCAACCTGATACGATTTCTCTTGAGATCTGGGACCTGTACCTGGGAGCTCTGCTACAGGCAGAAACAGCAAACCAGTGACATACAGGGAACACTGGACCTCCTTCTTCCCTTCGTTAATGCATCCTGGAGGTGGTGCAAAAACTTGCCTGCATTCCTAGCAGCTCCCTTTAACAGAGAGCTCTGCTCCAGAATTGGCTGCCCCCAGCTTTGCCCATTACTGGGCATGTCTCCCAGTGCAAGGAGACCAGTACAGTGAGTAGGGGTTGGCCTCTGCCCTCCTGCCCAGATCAGGACACGAGGTACTACAAGGGCATTGAGCCCCACATCATCACCATTCCTCTATGGCTGGGTCTCACAGAGATGCAGAATGACAGTGCTGCTGGGAGGCCTGTGTGCCAGGCATCATATGGGCATATGCCTGGCAAGTGGCTGGGCCAGGGGAACAGCTGCTCACCCAGAAAGCTGCCTATCTCAGGTGCCTCCCATCTCTTCCAGCAGGAACTAGCACTCCCAAACTCTGCATACAAAAGCTGCACCCCTGGGAGCTCTCTCACCCGCTTCAGGGGCAAAATGCATAATGAGCTTAAAATGATGCACAATGATGCTTAGAAGTGCTGCTCTGCAGGCACACACCTGGCAGCTCCTGACAATGTGGGCCAGAGCATCCATGGTGGCTAAAATGCCTGGACCTGCCAGGTGGAGGAATGGCTTTTTCACTGGCACAGATAGGGCTGAATGAGGACAGTGGCCAGATGCCCAGTGTAAAGCTCTGGGCTGTGTGCTTTGGCATTTAACCAGCTTGACTCTCTATGTGGCTCTGTAGTACCACCTGCCATGCTGAACAGCCTGATCCTGCAACAGTGCTCTACCAAGTGCATCAAAATCCATCACCTTTTTGGCACTGGTTAGCAACGAGCAGAATTATGGAGTATTTTGCTCAGTCAGGCTAACCGCTAATAACAGACTGAAATTATTTGTGAAACTGAACATTGGTACTATGAAACTGTACACTTTTTTATGTCTTGTTAGTCAACATGGTCTTTAAGGATGCTGAGGATTGGACAACTTGTTGCCAAGAGCGCAGACCAGACAGATTCCAGCTACAGCACAGTTTGTCAGGCTAGTGTAAAAAGCTGCTCTGCCTTCATGAAAAAAAAAAAAAGCACTATGAATGGTTCCTTCTGCAGTGCCAAGAATAATACCATGCAAGAGAGGAAACCTACTCAAGTGAGTCTGGAAAACATTCTAACCAGGAATCAAATACAACTGGGTGTGTTTCTTAATGGAGTGCTAAGCTACATTAGCAAAAGTGACTTCTCTAGTTTGTAAGTGTATATAAAAGCCTAATGTAACAGTATTTTCATAGAGAGGAAAAAAAACATTTTAAAGGTGTCTTGGCAATGTTAATAGACTGTATTTGTAGCAATTAATTAATAACATTTTGAATCCTATTTCCTGAGGAATATAAGTGTTCCAACAACCAGCTGACAGGAAGACACAGAACAGCCCTAAGGATAGGGGCTAGCCTACACACCTAGCTTTCACCACAACACTGCCTGGGAGCAAGGGTGTTACATTTGCAACCTTCTGGAGAGGTTCACCCCACCTACAATTGGCAGTCTTCTCCCCAAGGGAAAGCCTGTCAGGCTGGATGAGTTGCCCTAGAGGTAAGAATCTGCTCCAAGCCATCATCTTCCAGGGGGAGGGCAGGGAGAGGGTTCACCAGCTGCTCTAGAAGCAGCAAGGCAACAGATACCCAGGGGTATATCCTGCACTCACGTGTTGTAGGTGTGTACACATCAAGCACAGTGTTTTGCAGCTGCAGAGTTGCAACATGTACAACAGCCAGCTGCTCTGCACAGGAAGCAGGTTGCAGACTAGGGATTCACGGCTGTACCACTGCTGCTTGGCCAGAATAGCAGACCCTTTCTGTTTGCAGACCACCTGCAACTCCAGGCAGTGGAGGACAATCCAGTCACCACCAAAGGTTTTCATTCTGAAGTAGGTAGCTAATGCTTCTTCCACATTCAGCAATCACTTTTTCAGGACTCAATTCACACTGCAATTAGGTATCGAAGGAGATGAATGGCACTGCTAACTGCTCAGTTTCAAAATTCATGCACACAAAAATGCTAGCAAACCAACTGGCAAGTCTGAGCCGTCAGGCCAGAGGTGACACTTCATACATTAAGCAGTATGGTTTTGAATTTGCCTTGCATAAAATAGTAAAAAAAGAAAGGGAGCATATGGCTGAGCAACCTCTCTGGTTGTATGGGATGGTGTGCACCACTGCAGGGAATGTTTGCTGGAATGCCTAGCCCTGTTGTCCTCTGTCACCCAGTGAATGAAGTTACTTGGGCACTGGTCTGTCAAAATTTTGTAGTCACAAATCCCAAGGCTCAAGTTCAGTAAAATTAGAAAACCTGTGCTTCCCTATTTGTCCCTTCCTAGAAGCTGCTGTGCTGAAAGAAAGGATTGGTACTGAGAGTTACTATTAAAATTTAAAATTAGACCTCATGGATATGCTAAATCGTTTCAATTTCTTGGTCTAGCAGTCAGAAGGTTTTATTTCTTTTTTTTTTATGGACAATATAAACCTTTTCACAAGGCAAAATTAACATGTTCAAAAAATCTGGCATAATTTCAGTGAAAAACACTACAAAACTCCACTAAAAATTCAAAATTTTAATCTTGGAACAATGACCTTCTTACAAAGGAGATTTTAAAGACTGAGCATACATATTCACAAAAGCAGCAAACTAAGGCATAATCTCCATAGTCATGTTTATAAAGTAAAGACTTTGAAAAGCCATGTGACTCGATCTCATTTAAACCTCATGAAGACACAGGCAGTAAAAATTTTAAATATTTGACTTACTTTTACACGTAGTGGACTGTCAGTTTATACAATTATTATGAATATGAGCTAGATAATTTCAAATCACTTAAACAAATACTCTAGTGTGAGCATGAAGCTTAAACATTATTTTAAAGTGCTCATTAGAAACCAAACATTTCCATTATAGTTAAGAAATGTTAAAGATATTACATTCTTACATATTGAGTCTGGAAGTACAATATGTACACAATCTACAGTCTTCTCTGTATAAATAGGAAATAATTTATCTCAAATGTGACTAGTAGGTGAAGGGAAGAAGACTTTTTCTATTTGACCAGAAAAAAGGAAAAAAATATAGCAGTCATCCGATACACACAGCCATCGGAATTCTGTATCCCCAGCATGGCCATTCTGGCCAATCTCCTTGACTCATTCTGTTGACATTGCCCATAGACAATCAGCACCTCCCTTGTAACAGAATGCTTGGGTCTCTAGAACCAGCAAGGCTGTACTAATAGGAAACATAATGAGATATAAGCTCCTTAATTAAACAGAAGAAATATGCACTGTGATGTATTACAGTTCTCAGAGACAAAAGAACTCTGAACTAGACTGTCAAAACCAAAAAATTTGGACTTTATTTTAGTTTTCAAATTAACTGTAGAGCTTTTAAAAAAAATTGACAAATTAAGAAGCATCTGCCATAAATTTAAAAGCCTACATCAGCTCTCTCACAAAGCCCAAATCAGTTCCTTTCAGTCCAGAGCTACAGAGTCCTTGCTAGTCAAGTCTCTTGCCCTGAGAGGAGCCAATCAAACCTCTCCATCTCAATACCAGTCCTCAGTGATTTTGATTTGACAGTTTTGCAGCACTGGGGTATTACCCTGTGCACAGGTTAAGCCTGTTTCACCTGTGAAATTATAGAATTGTGCATCACTGTACTCCCCGCAGCACACACACTTCTCAACAATCTGCCTCAAAGTACAACATGACAAGCTTTCAAAACTACAAGCAACCTCAAAATGCAACACCCAAGAGTGTTCACAAAAGTACAATAGAAAATACTTAACTTGCTCACATAGCTTTTTGTTTCTTAATTGCCATTTCATTTTGTACCCAGTCTTTTCACCAACTTTGCAACTGGACTTTGTAATCATCAGACACACAAAAGTATACCCACTCACATATAGTAACATGATTACAGTAAAATCAAAAGCCACATAATAAAATAGCGGTGAACATTCCATAAGTGGAATTTTAACTTTTGGTCAACACTTCTGCTAGGCTAATGGCAAAAATATGCTGTGCAAAATCACTTTAAGATCTGCAGCAATAAGCCTCTTGTTTACTTTAGCCTCAGCTTAGTGTGTGGTCAGCCTGAACTACGCAATTTCTTACAAGAATAGGTAAGTAGAAGATTGTAAAGCTGTACTTCTTCCCTACTTGTACCCATTAGCAGACTCTTCCCTTGCAAAATGACATTCATGTGAAAAAATTTACTGTGACGCTCAGAAGAGTTGAAGGCAAACACGTGTATGGGCAACAAAAGCTGTCAAGGTGACAAACGATTCAAAGGATTGCTTTCTTCTCCACCTGCAGCCAGCTTGAGAGTTGTTAGCTTTCGAGGGGGATGCTGAGGACTCTTACGAAGGTTGTCGTCCATCTGCAGAGAAATAATGAGAGCCGGATCTGGCAAACGGCAGAATATAGATTATATTATTAGTCTATGTGTCATTAATGCTGGTCTGGGGTACTTTTTTTACTCTATTATTTCAGACCCAGACAAAACCAATGCCTTGGCTCCTATCTACTCCCACATAACTGCTTGTGTTACAGCAACTATTAATTCTATCAGCATCTGATGCATCAAACCCTGGCCAAACAGGTGTGCTCCTGCTCAAATAACTTCCTCAAGATTTCTGAAGAAAGCAACATTGCTAACTTCTTCTAAGAGGTCAAAGTTTCCATTTTGTACAATAACCAAACACTGCTAGAAAGCAGACTGAAAGCCAAACTGCTAACACCAATGGGTGCTTTTGCATGGTCAGCACCTTCCAAGAACAAATCTTACTCATTTTAGAAATATTCTTGAGGTGTTGTGTGAATTTACAGTAGTTACAGATTTCTGAAAGTATTTATCAAAGAACTTTTGGTAAGATTTTAACAAAAACAGGCTAAAATCAATCTCCAAATATAAAGATTTTACATTTTCATAGGAAATCAATCTAATGCCCTGTGCAGAATGTGGTACCAAAAGAGTCTAGTTACTACTGAATAAATGGAATCACTGAACACAGCATAGGTGAGACCTCCAGAAGTTGTCTAGTCCATTTGTTTCCTCAAGGTAGGATCAGCTTTACCTAAATCATACCTGTCAAATGTCTTTGTACACCATTGTTTACAACTTTGACAGCCACACTCCAACATAATGAAGACAAGATTTGATCAATACCTAACACTACAGAGGCTAGTCATAATTAATGATCTATTTCACACACTGATCTTTTTCAGGAAGAAGCAAGTGCCTTCTACTCTTCTAGGTAAAGCGTTCTGTCTGCATCAGAAGACTAATTCTTCACAAGTATTTTTCACATCAGTTGAATAGGTTTTGATAGGTTCTGAGTGACAGCCTTGAAAATGAAGAGTATAAAGAAATAAAAGCTAGACATAGAACAAGCAGGAAAAACAGTGTCTGTAGCTTAGTGACAATAGCATTCAAGTGAGAGCACAAAGAGCTTCTGATCAGTCTGAACCTGCAGGACTGTTTCTGAGTTTGGACCAATATATTTGCCCCCTCCTTTGCTGGAATGTACACTTGCAACAAGACACCATTTCTTCTTTTGGTATGTGCACTCACAAGACAATATTCTTAGAATGTAATAGAAGTACTTCTTAAATACAAGGCTTCATTAATTATTCATTTCAAATGACACAATATTTTTCCTGCCTTCCTACACATAGTAACTCAATGGAAAATAAGCAATTAAAATGAAATGTCCATTGGACAGTTGCAGTTGCCATACAAGAATATCTGTGAACAAACCACAATGAAGCAGGAAAATTAGAGACTGAAGCAAAAGTAACCTTTTCAATCAAGTTGGATTCCTTATTTACAAGCTGTGTGAGTTTCTGCAGATTAGCATCTGCTGTATCCTGTCCAGCCGGAGAATGGCCTGGAGAGTGAAGGCAGAAAGATGGAGAGTGAAAAGGAATTTACAAAAGCTTTTAAATCCTCAAAAATTAAACCCACATTGGAGAAACAGTTCATGCAGTATTTTTATCCCAAGAAGAATTTAAGTGGAAAAGCCATTCCATGTGAGAAAAACAGAAGCACTAAGCATAAGCCTTCACACAGATACAGGTGCATTTTGCCAACGCATGACAGACCCTAAAACTGAGTATCAATCCTAGCTTTTGATTTGCAATCTTTTCTGCACAACTTTGCAAGTTTCTCCACTTCATTTCCCCACAGAAGCTCCAGCATAGACTACATAAAGTGTAATTCTGCCTTGGTTCAGAGACCTGGAGTCCTAATTCAAACAAGACTATATGTGGCAAAAAGGGGAAAAGAAACACAGCTTACCTGAGACAGTTAACCTGAAGTAGCAAGTCAAAATATTATCACAGAATCGACACAGATTGGAAAGCTGTTTCAAATGCTCTTGTAGTTGTACTCTAGGGAAGCATACTTTATAAATTGGTGCAAGGAAACCAAATACAAAGGCATCCAAGGTAGTAGGCCTGAAGAGTTAAAAAACAAAACAAAAAAGTGACTGAAGCAAGACATGGAGCCTTTACAACAAAACCATTTTCTGTGCATATTAAACACAACTCTGGACAGAGCACAGTCAGCTCTTCTGGCATTCCATCTTTTTGTATCAATCTGGTAAATGCTTTGTGCAAACTACTGATTTATTTCAGCATCTCTGAACTACAGACAGCTGGCAAGCTGAAATCGGAACTTCAGCATTACATTCCAGCCATGCTTTCACATGCTGATGAACATGACTCTTGAAAACACATTTCTGGCACCACAAAAGCCAAGCTGTATGCTAAAGGTCCAGGGATCCTCCCATGTGAAGCAATCCAACTTTGGTGGCTAAAGGAACAGGTAATCCTTTTTAAGATATTGGCACTAGGTTGTTGGCAGTACCTGCTTCCTGCTTGGCACACACAGTGTTCCCAGACCTACACCCTCCTCCCCTGAAGGCAGTGGTAACACGTCAGCCCTGAAGCATTGTTTTCTACATATAAGCACTGTGGGTGACAATCAGTGGCTAGAAAAAGCATTCTTTAGTGCTACTCATTATGCAAATGAAAGATGCTTGGCAGCTGAGGTCAGCATCTGCCTCTATGGAAAAATAAGGGAGACACTACATTGCTTTAGTGGAAAGATCTCATTTGTGCCCTTTTCGCTCTTTCATTTATCTGAAAAGCAGAGTGTGAGACATGAAACTGACATGCAGCACTTTCAGCATTTTGACAAGTTAAAGAAAAAAAATTTTAAGTGTTCGGAGTCATGTGATACCTGTTTTATTAGTAATTTAAAAAAAAAAAAAAATCAAACTCACGTCTCTCCAAAGAAAAACTGAGATGTTCCCAATCTCTTCGACAGGAGATTTAGGCACTCCTTGGCATCCCTGTATATCTGATGAGACACAAGACTGTCTAAGAGCCCTATGTGTAGCAAGACTAGTATGCACAGCACTGTTCATCATCTGACAGCATGCTGGACTGTTTCAGTTCTTGTCTTTGACAGCATCAACTTACAAATTCTTCAGTACACTACACATACCTGTGCTTCCACTTCAGTGAGACTATAGAGTGGAGGCCCTCCCCTGGTCAGCAAGATCCTGTTCAGCGCTTCCCTGGACATCTTTCCAGGCAAATACAAACTCAATGGGAAGGAAATCCTTGAGGCAAACCACGGCTTGGTCACACTGCAGTAATTTTCAGCCTCAACCCAGAAAGTGTGCAGCTGTATCAACACAAGGAAGAATATGACTGGAATTTGTGTAAGAATAGTAGACATCTCTTACAAGTTTGATGTGTAAGATCTCTTGTCAGACAAGCAGCCGCACCAGGAATTACTGGAATATAAGCAATCAGGCTCCATAAAGGATCATCCTAATCCTTTTGAGTGTAGAAGTATATAATTAAGGCAACAGTTCCCTCCCACCTTGGAAAAACTACAAAGAAATTACATAGACCTACATACACGTGCATAAAATTACATACACGCTCACATTTATTTATGTCTATGTACATAGACACACACCCAATACACACATGCTGTTCTCAGAAAAAACACCACAAAAGCTGCAGACACACAGGATCAGGTTTGAACTTTTAGAATTTATTTTTCTTTTATCTACATCTTAAAATAAAAGATGTTATGAAATTATGAACTTGAAACCTTGGGGGTCAGGTGAAGAGGCCAGCTTATGACATCATCTGACCATCATATTTTTCCTGTACAAACTAAAGCCAAAGTCATAAAAGAGATCCAATGTCTGGGGATATTTATAGCTCTAACGTACTTATTTTAAATTGGTAGAGGCATCTAGACATGTGTTATTTAGAATTGAAAAATGAAACTTCTGATGGGTATTTTAATTTCTCAAAAGTTCTAACTGAACAGTTCAAAAGACTTCCACAGTTGTGCACCCCACGTCATACATGCACATTTTACTCGAAGCTTTTTCAAAAGAATCAAATGAAACAAACAGGTCAGAATAAGCTGTTTTCAGGATAATGTTTCACAAAAAGTATCTAAACAAAAAACATTCATAGGTGCCCTTTTAAAATGTCTTTCATAAATCCATTATTATAGCCTCATACCCCACAAAAACACACTTATTTCCTTTTCACAGCCTGCTAGGCACAATTTCCACAATTGGCCTAATGAAGCAAATGCATTCCAGCCAGGACTGCGGCTGAGAGACTTTAATCTCTCATATTTGGCACCTCTTGTAGCATTCATTTCCAAAAATTCTGACAGTTATAAAGTATTTCCCACTACTTACCAGAGCAGGAAGCAGTTTCTCTTCAAGTAGTGCAATATATGCAAGTGTATCAGCTCCTTGCTTTGCAGACAATTCATAATCAGCATTATATTTCTATGAATTAAAAAAAACAACACCTACTACAAATAGTGTAACATAGAACTTCCCCCAAAAACAGAATCATAGAATCACCAAGGTTGGAAAAGACCTTCAAGATCACCACGTCTAACCATCCATGCTACAACCCCTAACTACTAAACCATCTACTGAAACACCATGTCTACCTGTTTGTTTAACACCTCCATGGACGGTGCCTCCACCACCTCCCTGGGCAGCCTTTTCCAATGCCTCATCACTCTTTCTGTGAAGAAATTTTTCCTAATATCCAACCTGAACCTTCCCTAGCACAACTTGACCCCATTTCCTCTTGTCCTATCACTGGTCACTAGGGAGAAGAGGCCAACACCCACCTCACTACAACCTGCAACCTGAAAATGCTTCAAACTTCACAGCTATCAAGTCAGTAAATATAACAACATTTTGCGGAACAAAAATCACGCATTCACTGAAATTTCTTTACTTCTTCCATCCAACTATGTTAAACCTCCTTCCATCTCCCTTTTCCACTTTCCCATTCTTAGATTTTGGGGCCCTCCTGTGCCCAAAATAACTCTTGTGTCTCCTTCCCGTTACTTTCCAAGCAACTGTCCAGTGACAGAGAGGTAATTTTTCAGTATTTAGGGCTGTAGCAAACCCCTGGTAAGTCCCCATCTTTATTTTTGAAGAAGCATCTGGCACTTCAGCTGGTGTAGGCATTAAAAAGGCAAGCATTCCCATCCTGTGCTTTTAATTACCACTCTAAAAGTTTAGAAACTGGATGCTAACAGTATAAGGGACCAAATGCACAGCTAAATTAGTGCAGCGACAGCTGTTTGAACTTCTCATTCTTACACTGGAACCTTTAAGGTACATTAAAACGGCTGCTAAGGTTGTTTTTTTTGAGGAAAGAGGATATTCACTTCATTAGTTTAGAAACAAATGGTCAGTGCTGACCCTTATTTTTAAATATCTGAAAAGCAAGCAGATTATTATTGTACTTCAAACTCAAAGAGGTGGGGTTTTTTCCCAGTATAAGAAATCTTTCATATTCAAGTGGCTTTGAAACTTCTGAATTTTAAAACAACTGACTAAAATCCCATCTCAAAAGCAGAGTTTTCAGATTCTATTTTTATCCCCACAATGATTTTAAGTTTTACTAACACAGCACTCATCAGAACATATTCTTGACTAGGCAGCAACTGAGTACCTACTGTAAAAGCAGACTAGTGGGCCGGAGGGCCATCTTAAGAAATAAAAAGATAATGCCATGCTTTACTAGACATCTTTATGCTTTGTGAAAAGAAGAAATCATATAGCTTTACTCTCTTGTAAATAGAACATTAAGAGATCTGCAAAAAGGCAAGCATGAGTTGGATACACAATAACGTGATGTGCATCAAGGAATGTTTGCAGACATTTTCATGCTACAAGCTACAGAAAAACTAAGTAGATTAAAAAAAACTGGTGGCACTGAGAGACGATTGCCCATTTAATCAGTTAAAACCACGTTTCCCAAACTGTGATATCCTAGATCTGCAAAGTCATAATGACATTAAAAGTTATGACTAAAAACTAAGAGAAGGGTGCTCAATGACAAACTGCTCAACTAAGGCCAGTTTGTTGTCCTTTACAATTAACAGCTTTCTTGTGCCTATTTTTAAATCTCTCACATGACTAACAATCAAACTTTCAAACAGTAATCTGTCATCCATCATTTTGTTTTGGAGGGCAGGTATAAAAAACAGGAAAACACTGGATCTGAACTGAGTTTCAGGTTTTCAGAAGCCTTTATCAATTGTATACAGGGGACATGTGGAGTCACTACAAGGCAGAGAAAACAAATCTTTTGAAAGAGACCCACCTGCTTTCTCAAGAAGTTTAGTATTTTTGCTGGCTGAGAAATAACAATGTCTTCTGATACCAGGACTGGTACATCTCCTGGAAGGCATAAATAATGCAGGCAACAATTTACATGGATGAGCTTTAGCACAACTAGAAAGCAGTCAGTCACTTGATCTACTTTCCTTTTCTCCATAGCATACTCTGATCTTCCTAAGATGTATGTATAAAGGAAAGTTTACATAACAGTGGAGTTCCACCAACATCACAAATACACCCTGGTGTGTTGTGGCCTTCACTAATAACAATCCATTAAAAAGGGCCCAGATCAAATCAGACTGAAGTCAATGCCTTTTTCTAGATATCTGATGCTTTGAGAACCAGGCCACTTGTCTGGATTTCAGATGTTCATCTTAAGACAAAAATTCCAACTCAGTTGAACTGCCCTCTGAACCTACTCCAAAATCAAATTATTCCCTTCTGCCAGCATACTGCTAGCCTTTACTCATCACATTACAGGATCAAAGGCTGCAGAGCATAAAATCTCTATTAACAGGGACTATCTTATAGCACTTTTACAATATTAACTCCCACAATACGCTTAGCACAACTGTGCTGCTACATACTATTAAAGTAACAATTATAAGTAAGGCTTACTACTTGGGATTTTTTTTTTAAATGCATCTTATGTATTTTGGCTATGAAGAAAGTCACCGAATTTTTGGGAAGTATATGCAGCTATTTCCTGCTATTTTCTTCTAGCCAAAAACAACACACTGAACAGCAAGACTCAGAGGTGCAACTTCTGCATGGATACAGTAATGTCTAAACTGATGAAGTGGCAAGCATAAACTACTTGAACCCTGCAGTGATTTTACCTCTCTGGAATACCCCAAGGAAGTAACTGAAATGCTGAGCCAACAGAAAAACAAGGAGCAGAAGCCCTTAACATGAAGAAGCCCTCTCTGATACCTTATCTTCAACTAGGTTGTTCAGTCGCCCTGAGCCAACCCCTCACGCAGCGTCCCAGCTACTGCAAGCTACACTCTGAGGGGCTCGCATTCCAGCTGCACCAGCCCATCACATCATGCGTAATTAAAGAACATTATTTCCATACGCAAGTCCAGTTACTATCATTATTAATATGGAAAGCACAAAAAGCTTAAAAACTTGCCTTCAGAGCACCATCAGTTTAGACAGCCTGACAGAAACAGGCACGTACTTGGCACCGCTGCTCTGCTGGCTGACTGCTGCTTCACCCACACACGCTTTAATAAAGTGTCCTTTGAAGGACTTTTATGTCTTACACCGCTTTGTTACCACAAATTCATCGCACTTGTTGCTGTGAATTCCTTCATTCACGTGTTCTGAAAGCAGGTGAACACCAAACCAAACGCAGAAACAAGGCAGGAAGCGGAACCCGTGTGTGTAACACGGCTACAACTAAAAGAATGAGAGGTGCAGAGAAGGTACCTTTGGGAGCTCTCCAGGCGTTACTGATAGTATTCACTGTCAGGGGAGCACCAGAAAATTTGGCGTAAGCCTACAATAAAGGTTGTGGCGAGAAAAATCCAGTTACTACGTGCAAGCGTAAGGCAGCGCTGTAAAAGCAGTTTCAAGCAGCTTCGGGCACTGAAGACCGACTAAAAGCAAAGGCGCATTTGCTCAGTGGCTCTTCTGCGCCCCAAGGCCTCTCCAGGCAGCGCCCGCGGAGGCCGGGCCCGGCAGCCCGGGCAGGAGGAGCAGCCGGGCCCGCGGGGAGGCCGCCCCGGGTCAGCGCCAGGGC